CATGAGAAGTGGTCAAATACCGCGGTGGAATCACAGAAGAGAAGATACTGGAATGTGGAGTACCTCAGGGCTCGCCACTATCGCCACTTCTTTTCATGCTCTACATCGCTGTGCTTTTTGAGGATCATGGTCTAACGAGTAGGTTTGGTTATGCTGACGATGTAGCTATTGTCAGAATTGGAGACACCGCGGCGGATGCTATCTCCGCAGCTCAAGACGACCTCGACAGCCTTATCCTTCTCGCAAGAGAACACAGGATCGATTTTGACCCAGCAAAGTCAGAACTTCTAGTGACCGGAGGAGAGCCTAGAAAGAAAATCAACGCGGCTGATCTTTCCATCTTGGTGAAAGATCGCCGGATCGAACCGTCACCTTATATCCGGTGGCTAGGAATCTGGCTTGATACCCAGCTAAACTTCAAGCAACATGTACAGGAATGGACTGGAAAAGCTAATCGTCTAGTCCATTTCTTACGACATATAAACGGAGTTCAAGGCGGTGCAGCACCCGGACCTCTGATTCGTGCGGTACATGCATGCGTCCTGAGCACAGCTCTATACGGGGCAGAAGCGTGGTGGCCAGGTCTCACTCGAATAACCACACCGCGAGATAAAGAAGTCGGCACTGGAGTAGGCTGGCACATATCTCTATTGGAAAAAACGATAATGAAAGCTATTAGAGTAGCACTCCCAGCGTGGCGTACCACTCCCAATGTTGCTCTTCATCGTGGAGCGGGAATACCACCAGCATCGATAATTCTTCAGCAAAAGATGCTGCGGTCTGCAGCTCGTATGCGAAGAATGGATGCCTGGCACCCTCAAGCCATTCGGGCGGCTGAGGATCCGAAAGAGACAATAAGACGCTTAGGTCTTAGATCGGGACAAAGAAATCGTTTGTTTAGACAACCAGAACGGTACATGACACGCCTACAAATGAGTGTGCGTCGAGTTCCGACAGCCGAAGGCCCCGGAAAGCTATACTTCCCACGTGGCACTCCAGCATCGATTCCATGTAGTCGAGAAAATGAAGCTAGGTCTGGAAGCATAAAGCGGTGGTTAGCCTCCCGCCCAGCTAACACAGTCTTCGCTTTCTCTGATGGATCATCATCGGGTCCCGGAAAATCATCCTGGGGGTATGTAGTATACCAAGGAGGCAAGCTAGTTACAAGTGGCTCCGGTCCACTTCCCGGAGCAGAGGTATTCGATGCAGAAGTTGTAGGTGCCATGAAAGCCTTGAAAGCCTTGAAGGCTGCAATAGAGGTAGGAAAAGACTTACTGATCTGCATTCTTCTTGACAACCAAGCGGCCACCCAGGCGCTCGAAAGAGGAAGATCTAACTCCTCGCAGTCGGTGGTGGACAAGTTTTCATCGCTGAGACACAATAAGCGTGTGGAAATACGCTGGATACCCGGGCATGTAGGGATTCAAGGCAATGAAGAGGCCGATAAGCTGGCCAAATCAGCCTTGGGAGCTTCCAATAACCGGTCACTAACCTCAGCTGCGCCCATTCTAGAAGATCAAGATCTAACATTTGCGGCATTAGGGAGGTGGGTTAAACAGCGTAGCCAAGAGCTCGTGGAAGAGTGGTGGCAGAAGTATCGACCGAAACGATACAAAGATCTGGACCTATTCATGCGTTGCAAAAGACCACCGGAACTAGCTTTACCAAGATGGGCGTACCATCGTCTTATTGCGGCAAGAACAGGCCACGGGGACTATGCCGACTACCATCGACGTTTCAACCCCGAACATGAAGATCTGAAATGCGTTTGCGGCCGAGAGAAAAGGCCCTGGCATTTTTTAGAGTGCCGACCTGCTTTGCTACGTTGGAGAATCTATGAGAAAATGGCCCCACCTGGGGCCAGAGAAATGATAGGGGAGAAGGGATGGCAGAAGTTCATTCAATTCTTAACTACAAGCCGATGTTAAAGTCTGCCGAAGAATGAACAGGGTGGGAGGTGACCACGCTGAGATTGTTTCTGACCCGAGAGTAGATGGGTGTGGAAGATAGGGATGCGGCGCAGGGCACCGTAATTCAGACACATACTGTTCTATTTTTTTTCACTCTTTTCTTTTGTCGCTTCTGGCCCCACTGCCGGTCATGTAGGTAGCAATGAGCTTTCAGAGCCCATCTACCCGTGTCACGTCTAAATAGATGTTAGGTTCTTCCTGTCACGTAAAAGATTTCAAATTCAAATTCAAAATTCTATGACTATGAAGGACTGCTAAAAGTAGACATTAAACCACCAAAATTCACTTGTTTTGATAAATACTGTTTTTTCAATCTTTTCCAATAGACAATTAGAGACAGGAGAAAGCTGGTTCGAATCCAGTAAAACCCACACACCACTCTCTCTCGCGGTGATATTGTACTTGTGGGATGATGAAAGCACACTCGGATAGCCACAGGTTTTTCACGCTTTTCCCTATGGTGGGTATGCACGGAAGAGGTTATACACCGTAAGGGCTAACCTCGAGTGGTATCTGCAAATGAAATCTGAGTGTGAGTGTTCTAAATGTCAAATTGAGTCATCCTACTTGAAGCACATATCTTCCGATAAAAGCCTGCATGGGCCTCAAGGCGCCAAATCAGGCAAAAAAAACTATATATATATACTCTGGCATAACCTCGTGGTGTTATGAATCGCACACGAGAGATTGCTCAACATGTGGTGGGAAGAAGCTTGTTCTCCCAAATACCGCCAACTGAACTTACATGTGCGGCGACGCATACCGCACGAGCTGTAACTCCATATGCACTACCTCAGCGAGTTAATCGTAGCCCAAACGGGTCACGGCAATATTTCAGCATATCATTGCTGTTTTGAAAACCCATGCGCTTCTGTGAAGTGCACCTGCGATAAGAAACCCATTCTAACCCACTTCATCTACTACAGAAACCACGCATGAATTAGCGTCGGCTCAGAAGTTCAATATCCCACATTGACTTCGTCAAAAAGCTCCGCATGCTCAAATGCCACTACTGCTTCCAGAAATTTGCGCAGGAAACCGGCTGTATTGATATACGACCTGCTCACTCATCAACTGCTCTCAGCGGGGATCAGATAATCTAGTCATTTCCACAATACGTAACACGGAAGATGATGGGTCGAGAAGCGTCATTTCTCTAAGGAAAAGTTGTATGTACTTGTATTTTAGGGTATAAGAGGGAGTTTCGATTTGGGAGTTGGAGTGAGTGGTGTCTTTGTTTTTTTTTTACGGTGTGAGTTTATATTGTCCTAAAAAGTCTATAACTATGTAAGGACATGTTGGTCCTTTCTACCTACAGGCCGGGAGTATCTATGCCTCGGGTAGTGTACTCCATCCTTTGCCTCCCTCACGATTACTTTCAAGCAGTAATACCCCCACAAGTCTTCATTCGAGTACACACTAAGAGGAGCCGTTATCCCGTTATTATCTCCCCTCTCCAGCCAACGAAACGATGGCCATTTGCGGATGTGTAGCTGCAGGGAAAAGTCTAAAAAACCATTGGGTGTGGGGCTCTCCTATGACGAAGAGGCCGCGCAGCCAGGCGCAGCAGACCTATATATACCTAAGAGTGTCTCTCAACCTTCCTAGCCTCTTCTTTACTCCTCCCCTGATTCGTGTCGCAGGACAAATCGAAGGTCGTGAAAGGATGTCAGAAAAGTCTCGGTCGAGAGTGACTGTCGTGAAGGAGCCTAGCCTAGCATCCAAAAGTCATTACGGACGTGGTGTCGTCGAGTAACTCATGTATTTTATATGCCCTCCTGGCTAGTAGATTCGAAGATAAGATTAGAAGGGACGATATTGTAGACGAGTCGAAATCTGCTTTTCTTGAGGGCGGAAGGATCTTTTACTTTGCTTTCGTGGGCTTTTTGTTCGCCCGCCGGTGGGTAGCACATGTTGTAATATAACAAGGTGGTGTCTTTGTTGTAATTTACCTTCTACTATTAGTTCAGCGGGTCCCGCGGTTGGAATGAGCAGGACCTGTGAGGTTCCGAGCGCGCGTTGTATACTTGGTAAATGGTGTGGTGGGTGTAAGAATGATAGGGTATCACGTGGTGCCTCGTGGCTCCTAACTACAACGAATCTTGTGTAGAGCTTGAGACTAATACGTGTATTCTATATCCTTTAAGTGTAGGATGTCTATGTGTCTACATACATTGATTCCTCCTTACTCCTGACACTGGTGGACATATTGCTATGGTCGCGGGCTCTGACCGTGCGATTTCCTGTGCTTGAAGGTCATAGGATAATTATGATTACGTGTGTTCCGTGTTTCTTACATCCGGCTAACTCGTGCCCTGTAGATTTATCCAGGATCCACACCTGTAAGCAGTGAACCCCGCTAACTCCGCCAGTCTTGTCCCATGGCGGGTCTGGAGCATTAGCTAAGGACCTAAAATTATAAAAAACAATAACCTCAGACTGGTGGAGTATCAGTTTACATGCTATTTTTCTACACGGCGCATCCTGACCAATCTAGTTGAATCTACGTCTCGAATTTTCATTCATGTGCAAATCCCAGTATTTCTATGTGAATTTTACAGAAATCGAGACCCATCACAAATCCTACAAGAGTGAAGTAAACAATTAGATTTAATATTAGGAAGAATATTCAGCTTAGAGGTATTTAAAATACAATTTTGCTGATCAAACTTCTCAAATTACGCTTGCGCACTCAATATTTTTCTTGGTCAAATTTACGTTTGATCGGATACCTTGATTCTAGCATTTATTTAAGTTTTATCATATAAAATATCCTTCAGAATAGTTTATATGAGTTACTGATTTTTTGCTTCTTTGAGTTCCTATATGATCTCCAATCTGCCCTTTTGTCAATATATAACTTTGCTGCTACATTTTGAGATTTATATTAGTATAATTTTTCTGTAGCGTATTCATAGTATTTTACCTGGAATTTTTGTGCGGTGAGTTAGGTTATAATGCATAGCTTGGTTTGCGAATCTTTATTCAAAGTGTCAGATGCTGTTTGCCTCTGACAATTGCTAAATTCGTTCACATTATCATAGAGAGATAATTTTTATCAAGCGATATTCTTATCCAAATAGCTAAAACACCGACACTGATAGAGAGACAGATTGTGAATGCTGGTTTCCGATATTTCCATATCGTTTTGCGTAGCATCTCTATGGTTTCTGCCTGTCTTTGCTCTCTGGCTTGCTTTCTGAAAAACTCAGCACCGTCATCGAGAGAATGATGTAGTATTTGATCCGGCCATCGTGCAGTCTTCAGGACACTAAAACTAGAAATGGATTGCCATTCCTTCAATGACTCTGGCGGATGTTTTTCGAATAACTTAATGGTATTTTCGATCAGATTGTCAATTCCTAGAGGACGTGGAAGCTTTGAAAGGGTGGAGTGCAAAATATCAGATTCATCGGCAGGGATTTGAAATAGTTCCTCAGAGCGCTGTAGAATTATCTGAGCATACATGTATATAGAAAACACGGCCTCTCGTGCGAGTAGAACATCAAATAATCGGGTTACTTCATCATAATCTTGCAATTCATGGGCAAACATGGTGAGCGTTGCAGAGAGCGCAAAATACGGTTTTGTAGTAGACAAATGCTTCCAGAGCTTGGGGTTGATTGAATGTAGCACAGACGGTATTAAAAAAAGTTGTTCAAGTGTGTGAAAAAAAGTAGGCAACATGAAATCTCTAATCCTCAGAATAGATAGTCGAGCAATGGCTGGCGCACATTTTTTGGAGTCAAGGACTAGCATGAACACTTGACATATATCATGATATCCTTGGAAATACGAAAGATAAGGTGAGCGTCGCAATATTTCTATTATTAAATCTGATAGTTGTTCTTTACGCAATTGTAATTCCTTTAAAGATAGGCCTGGGAGGAGATGTTCGAGTTAACTTGTTGAAGTTTTGAACCTGTATTCTACTAACCTGTAGGATAATAAATAAATGATCTATTCACATCAAGCTTAACCTGATCTTCATCAGGATGAGGTGGTAAATCCTTCCAGCTGATGTTGTTTAGGTCCTCTTTTTGAACCTCATTGCCATCGTTCTTCAGGCCGAGCAGGAGGGGCCCTACGTGACGTTGATTAATTAATTTTCAAAGATGTCTTGGAACTGCACTGACAAGCCTTGCGCCGTATGCTATCAGTGACTAATCCACCTTCGGTTGTTGCTAAGTCTCTGACAGCCTGCAGACAATTGCTTTTGCAAGCCCACAAAATATTTTCACGTTTGGCGTGCAGTTTCTCAGTTACAACAAGTGGATCAGGTATTTCTCGATCGAGAGCAATTTTGTCATCCGCACCTTCAGCAGCTTCATTCGATTTCATTTTTCAAGTGAGGCAACTCGAAAACTTAACAACCTTAGTGTTGATAAGCCGTACGCGTCTCACATACGTATACCACAAAATTAACAAGAAATCTCGTCTAAGCGATACATTGGCTAGGTTATGCGTGATCCAGGGCGTCGATACTGTACAGATCAGCATGAGTCGTATGCAGACGCTACATCAAAAACTAGTTGTACATATCATCACCAAATCGCAGCATATACATCTTTAATACCTAGGTAATGAATTAATCAAGCGTTAAGCTGTCAATTGTCTATCCTTATGTGCCACGCCACTGCTGAGAGTGAGAGGGTACGGAATAGTGCGCTCCCTTGGGAATCTACATGCCAGCCGTTTAAACTTCTGCATAACGAATCCTTGTAACAGAAGGCAAATTTTTATTGATATGCGTCTTCGTGACACAAGTTACGTCTCTTAAACCTAAGCCCTTAAGTGTCGCTCTAATAGTGTCTAATAATCCCTCTCATATACTCTTCCGAGACGTATGTCTAAAAGATCGATGCAGCATTATCATAAATTCCAAGCCTGGATGAACCGTGGTTCTGGCGTTGTTCTATCCTCCATTATCTGTAAATAAATATGCCATTTTCCTCCATGGCCCTTGACTTTACAGCATCAACTAATGAAGGCTTGACAACAAACGCGACGACCACAGATGAGGCCCACCACTATTCAAATCAGCAAGAAGATTCGTCACTCAAAGACAGAAGAATCCTTTGCCTACACAGTGAGCCAAAGCTAGGAATCTTAACGCAAACTGTCGTGGCGAGTCCCTTGGTGAATTTGATTTTAATAGCTAATCTACGAAACTCGATATCATATGATCTAGCATTCATTGGTGTGAGTTGATTTCTCTACGAGATTATTTTACTCTTCAATGATGGCATACCCCGCAAAAAATACCAGACTGCTCTGTCAAGCCAAAATTCAGCTCACTCGCCACATATCAGAAAAATATCGCATGAAAAATCGGAATACATGGCTAATTCACGTAGGATGATTTTGTTCAAATCAGAGAGCTACATTCCGATGGCTACTTGTACGATTTAATTTACGAGCAAAGATTTGGATCCCGTATCCGTAATGCGCAGGTTATCGGGTCTCTCAAAGAATATAAAGATGACTTAGAATTCGATGACAGTGGTAAATCTGACGTTGATGGGAGTTTTTCGAACTCAACAGACGAAAGTAAAACCCCTCGCCTGCGACAACTGCCTCCTCAAAGTTTGATCCTTCATTTATGCAATGGAGATATGCAATTCATGACTATCCAAACCGATCATGAAGGAAAATTAAGCATCTTATCTAATCGGCATAGATTCCTCAGACCTATGCAAAAATTACAGGCTGGCATATATCTTGCTGTCGATCCTAGCTCCAACTACATGGCTATAGGATGCTCTGAAGGAGCTTTCACAATTTGTGTGCTAAATTCAAGAGAAATTTTAAAAAAACAATTTCGTTTGAGCTCAAAACTACAGTTTATCGCTTCCGAGCTTCGCATATTTATTGATGGAGCAATAGTTAAAATGGACTTTTTACACTCAGAAGTAGAAGATAGTGGTTATGTAGTACTACTCGTCCTCACGGCGTGTAAAGGGCAAACACGGATGTTTTTTTACCGTTGGAAGATAGGATCTGATCTTTCTGAAATACGTCCCCACAGCCGATGGGGAAATACTGTGCAAAATCAGCACAAATTACCACTGCTTCTGATCCCTCTTCGGTTGAGAACATCATTTATTCTTGTATTCGAGAATCGTCTATCGGTATATCAAGACATGCTTGAAGGCAGTCCTTCTATCTCAGATCTTGAGATGACAATTCACCCACCACTTTCCTGCTTCCATGGTAGGGGCACACCTCTTTGGTCAGCATGGGCACGACCCCCACGCTCACCTCGGCATGTCGTTTTAAGAGACGACATTTTTTTAATTCGAGAAGATGGCTTGGTCGCGTACATTGAAGTAGACGCTGAAATTGAGGGCTTGATTGCTTCTGATAACAAAGTAGGTGAATTAGGAGGAAACTGTGGTCCAGCAGTAGCTTGTCTTGGCTTTGATGGTCTTGACCGAACCAAAAGTGGTGATATGATCATAACAGGAGGGGCCTCCTGCGCAGGTGGAACATATTTGGTTAGTCTCTCACCCAAAAAAATAAATAAATTTGTATTTTGCAGTATTCGGATTTTAACTTAGGCTACAGCTTCGGGCGAGAGAAGCTATCCAGCTACACGAACCAATACAAAACTGGACCCCTGCACAGGATTTTGTCATAGTAAATTCGCATGAGGACTCGAAATTATCAGATCCAGAAAGTAAGTATGATAGAGTTGCTACCAAGTTTTCACGCCCGGACAGGATATTTTCGTGTATTGGCAAAGGAAATAGCAGCGCCATAGCTGAACTTCGCTTCGGTCTCGAAGCGAAGATTGGTCTGATAACAGAATATGACACGGCTATAAATCAAAGTTGGGTCCTTCATAACTTAGGATCTTCTGGCGATGATATCTCAAATGAAACCTTATTCCTGTTGGCATTAGATGATTCATCATCAGTACTGCGTCTAGCCAGTGACGGCTCTGCTATCACAGAACTTGATGAAGATTCAACAAAGTTTGATCTTAATCATAGAACTATTGCAGTATTCCAAAGGGGTGAATGGACCATTCAGGTAACAGAAAAGTCAATAATGGTAGATAAAGAAAGCACAGGGAGGTCAAGAGACTCTATCAATCTAGATTAAGACCACGCTGACTAAAACAAAGGCACATTTATACAAATAAAAACTTACTTAATGCCTGCCAGGGAGAAGAAATAGTAGGATGTGGATCAATAATAAGTCACGCCGCTATAGATGAAAGATTTGTTGTATTCACTACATTCGTTCGACCGTCCAATCTAGTCTACGTCAATATTTTTGAAATTGATAGTGTACAGTATAAGAGTTTCATTGAGGATTCACCTAACACTGTGCCAAGTCTGAGAGTGGTAACCTTAAAAATAACATCAAACGTTACAAGCTTGGCTCGATGCTCAATTCTGGGCGTTAATTACGCTTTAATATGCGAACGAAACGAAGAAAAAAACGTTATTAACTTCTTGCCTCTTGATATTGAAACAAGAATTTTTCCTCAAATTTCGCATTCTATCATTTCTGAATTTAAAACGGAAGCAATCATTAGTACACACTTCCAAACAATGGAATATGGAAACTTTTTACTATTTTGTGGCACTCGAGACGGCTTGCTCGTTATGATGGAACTTGATCGGCAACTAAAAATTATCGCTTCACGCTGTGAACAAGTTGGGGTAACTTCTGTTGTTATCACAAGAGATGAGCACTCAAGCTATGGGTATTTCGTAATTTGTGATTCATGTCTCTATGCAATCGTACCAAGAGTGAACTCATCGAAATTCTCCAATATCAACAATATTTTTGAAATAAATCGAATATGGCTTACTGACGCCCTACAACCTGGAATTCAACAGCCGAAGATTAATTCTATAGCTAGCCAACCGCCATTTCGACTTGATACTAAAACTCGAGATTGCCTTTTAACAACTGGTTCCCAAATTATAATTGCTTCTCTTTATGCAAATTCAAAAATGATTCCTCGTCAAATGAAACTGGCCGGAAGTCCTACTCGTATTATGTATTCCAATACTTTGAAAGTCCTTATAACGGCAGCATTGATAGAAAATAAATCGACCATACTTCTAATAGATCCGGAAACGGGCAATGATCTATCATATCCAATTGATCAAAATACAAAAAAGTCTGTGGACTTCATATCAGGACTAGGACATTGGAACGAAAGGGTTTTCAGAATATCAGAGTGGATATACGTAAAAGATGGAAGAAAATGGAATTTTATCATTGCATCAACAAGCTTGGGACGAGTCTTAATAATTTCTGTTAACCATCTCGGTACTATTCATAGCGAGATTCAAAATCCCTTGTTTGACTCAGGAGCAGAAAAAGATCGGTCAAGAGGAAGATCAAAAATTAGTTTTTATACTCGATATAAGTTCTGGGCTCCCGATCCTGTGTATTCAGTGGTGGGGTATTCAGAAGGAATTCTGTGGTGTGCTGGAAGAAAACTTTTCTGTGATATTTTAGATCTCGCAGAAAAGAAATTCAAGCGTAAGGCTGAATATGAGCTTCCATCACCTGCGGTTAACCTTGTGTACGAGGATGGCACAATTTATGCGCTTACGTCATCGCATTCTCTTGAAATTCTCAGGCTTGTAACAACAGATAATGGAACATTAAAAATCCAGCGAACTCACGGTGACCCAATAAGCCGGCCATCTTTGAACAACATAATCTACAACTCAAGATATCAAGATCCGATTCATATTATTTCTGATAAAATGTGCAAGGTAGTCGGTCTAAAGCCAACTCGCAATGCAATTATGGACACATTAGAGACAATATTTGAAGCGCAGCTCCCACACTCAATACTTCGATTCCGTTATGGCAGATGTCGTCCGCTTTGGGATCCGCTACGGACCCCTGGAAAAGCTTTCGATAAAATACCGTTGATTTGTGAAAATTCTGCCGAAGCAGACGAATCAACATGTTGTATGGGAAAATCCGAGCTGTTAGGTCTCTCGATAACAGGATCGCTCATTCACTTTACAGTCCTAAATTTTTTGTCATGGAAATTTTTAAGACTTCTAACTGATTTAGCCCTGAGGTCACCAAAAGTTTGTAGATTTACATTTCAAGATGAAGGTGATCTCGATCTTCTCCAACAGAATACTAAATCAAAATTCTCGATGCATATTGATGGTGATATATTAAAACGATGTCTTCAGGAAAGATTAATCGAAGATATTCTTGGAGTTGGTGTAGTTGGACTAAATTACCCAATTCATGTCGATGGAGAGTTGCTCACAAGAACCGATATCTTGCCCACGAGGTTAACAGAATTACTACATGAACTTCATGGAGATTTACCGATTAATGCAAAGATTGACGTATATATTGCGCAAGTATATTCTGATCTTGAGTATTTTCTTCGTCCGGTCATTTAGTAGTAAGCAAGGTAGACAATTTGCCACAGGCTTCATCAGGACCAAGTATAATTTGACTGCACCTACAACTTTAAATAGTTACGGAGTAGAAGCCTAGGTCTCTGAGCTGCAATTTTACGGGCTAAAATATTTTGCTTGGTTGATCTAGATTAAAAATGCATGGATATGACCTTTTTAATCATTATCTATGCCAAAGATCATAAATATCATTTTCACTGTAAAGAATAAGCAGCTTTTACAAGTTTAAGTCTCATACAAGACACGTCTGTTCTTAGGTTGAAGAAATCATTTTTAATTAATTACATTTAGTCCGACTTGAAGCCCTATGGGCCCATGCAGGTGTCTATCAAACACTCTAATTTACATAAGAAACCTTGCAGTAAAAATCCAGCTAACCTCCTAATTTGGCTCCAGGCCATGGCCGATTTGACCTGAGGAAGAGCGCTTATACTGTTACTACTGTCACGAGGTTGTCAATGACGTTTTCCATGGACTTGGGCAAGGAGGATAGCAGGAAAGCACCTTTTGCGTCTTCCGACGAGGTCAGGTCTTTGAATGCCTTGGTGAGAGAGGTACTCCAGTGTAGAGAGCGATTTTGGAGTCGGTTCTAGGCATCATTATAGGTTGAAAGGTATTCTGAAATGTAGTCTCCGTCACGTAATGTGAGATTAGTGACGGCCTTGAGTAGGGAAATTGTGGAACTTGAAATTTCTCGATCGAATCGTGATTTGAATTGGTCCCATGCCTTTTTATCCGTTTTGCAGTCTATCACAAGGATCTGTAACTTTCCATCAACAGCATTTCGGAAAAGGCCCGGGAGCTGTTTGTTAGCATTTTGCCACTTTTAAAACTCATCTGATAGTATTTCGGATTTTATTGGTGTCTCCTTTGCCAAGATTTCAAGTAATCACATTGCATCGAAAGTTATCTCCCAACTACCAATCCATCTACGATAGTTTTCACCACCAGTCAGTATTGGAAGTCGGTCTAGTTCGAGTGAGATTGGGCTTTGACCAATTTTTGCCTGAGTTGGTGAGAGTGATATTTTGGATGTGTTTTGTGTGCTAACCGGGCTATAACCTGTTGAAGCTTTGTCGTTGGGTGATTGGGATGAAAAGCGTTAAATCACATCAAATACCAGTGTAGACTCTGTCCTTGTCTTGTCTTACTTATTTTTCCCCTTCACCCTATCACATTCTCAATATATCTAAGTAGCCGAAACTACACTAGCCATCATTCCCTTTAAATCCCCAGTGTAGTGCTAGTTACATCTTTCCCTAAAGGTAAAAATTGCCACAAAACATGAGTTAAATGATGTGTGTAATGTATCATATTCATTCATTGTTCTAGTTTAACGTCCTATGCGATATCTATTTAGAGAACCATGAAGACGGTAAGCCATGTTAAGAAGGGAAAAGGCTTTCAGCAAACAAAACCCGATGTCCTGCCACTCTAAACCGACCCGGCTTAATGCTGAGGACGTTTCTTTCAACCATAGTTTTATAAACTTTCCCCAAAATTCGTTAACTTCCCCTTCGGTCAGACTTACTTTATTAGAAATTAAATAGATAAGGCATCTCCTCATTCGGCGTTGGTCTTCGAAGTGTTCGAAGAGTTGGCCCCGGTGGTGGTGCCACTGGGGCTTCGACTACCTTACGCGATCGTCCCGGCCCTCTTTTGAGTCCTTCAGCCTTCTTACTGGTGACCAAAGTGAATCCTTGATCATCAGTCGTTCCGGCTGTTCGTATTGGCACCGTTGTTGGTTTTTCATCCCATATTTCCGCCGTTCTTGACAACAGCTCCATCCGAGCCTTCTCCACACTTCCCTTGTGAACCTGGTAGGTCCGACACGCTGCTTTCTGCCGCGAACGGTGCTCCTTGCCGCAGTTCGCACAAGAAACCCTTTTCCTCGGACAGCCCCAAGTTTGGTGAGCGCCGGCGCACTCACCGCACCTAGCTGCCTTTTCACACGACGCCTGCGTGTGTCCCCACTGACTGCAGTTGTAACACTGCTTTGCCTGGGACCGCGGTGACCACACCTGTGCGGTGTAGAGCATGGCATTAATGACAAGGCCCTTTCGAACTACCTCTGTTTGCTTTGCCTCTGATGGGAGGCTGACCACAATTGATCCTCTACTGCGACTGTTTTTCTTCGATCGCTGGTGCTCCTTTCCATCATGTAGCCACCTGATTCGATTAATCACTAGGCCGGGAATTCGAGCCTTAGTTGCTATCTCAATCTCCCTGATGATAGCGTGGTTTTGGGCATCTCTACCACCCTCAATTCGAGTCCGCAAAGGGACACCAGAAACCTCGACGGGAAAATCTTGCCGTAGAATCCTAAATTCGTTGGTTTGGCGCATGTTGAGCGCCGCGTCTCTCGGGGACGCCCACTGGACGAAAACCTCGGTATCGTTGCTCCGCAATTGACGAGTTGCGTATGCACCTTGTATGTGCTCTTTTTCCTTTGAAAGCAGCTCTTGTAGCTGCAAGTTTTTAGCGCTGTCGATTCTTATTCTTACCGCTGCTTTTGTCATTTGCGGAGCTACGACCGACGCGTAACTCCTTGCTGTCGGCGCGCCCGAAACCGCTGCTGGAGCAGCTTTCCGAGCGGGATCCACGATACTTTTCTTTACGACCTCCTCTAAAGCCATCATCATCTCCTCAATAGGAGACTTCTTCTGAGACATTTCCGTCCAGGCCCTTTTGTGCGCGTTGAAGGCTTTGACGGCCTCGTTCACGTCCTCCATTGAGGGTAGGTCCTCCTCATCCATCTCTCTCATCACGATTATTCTAACCTGTTTTGGTAATTTCCCTAGGATTTCAAGGTTCTTGTCCTTTGGGGCTGTCTGCGCTCCGTTGCCGTTGTTGGTTGAGGCCATTGTCACATTTTGCGACGCTTCGAGACCGCTGGATTTACCCACACCAGCACCCACACTCGCCATGTTGGAGCATGGAAAGCGAAAAGATAGTAGGTGGGTAATAAAGATGTAAAAATAATGATCACGATGTCAATTTGATGATATGGGCAGCGTTCCACGCTGCCCAGCTTTCTGGCAAAAATGATGTTTTTGATGTATCATATTATGATTATGTACATAGGCATGGAAGGAGAAGGTATTATTTATCGTCTCTTGTAAGCCAGGCCACTATCTCGTAGCGTGTTACTTTTCTTTGATGTTGTGTCATAGCTAGGTAGATCCATACGCAATTAAAATCTGATGCAAAAAAAATCTCGTAGCGTCGATGGCCAAGAATAACAATCGAAGTCAGGCATGGAAATTTCTAGTCAAAAATGGGGACTGTCCATAAGTACGTGTGTTGTTTGCCTCGGTCACTGCTTGCATTCTGTATTTAGAACCGTAGGCTATTCCATTCCTAGCGCATGTCTATATTTAGAGATCAAGAGATCAAGTCAATCATGATCAGTGTATATTGCCCTAAAGTTCGGGGAGCAATAGGAATCAAGTTGTTTTTGCTGAGTTATCTTTTCCTTTAATTACATAGACTTCGCCTGTATTAACTCGGGCACCCAGTTACCTGGAACGTAGGGATATCGGGCGTAAAAAGAATATCTAGAATACGAGATCCTCCAAGCTACAGCAGTGCCCAACTAGTGAGGATCCTGAACTCTAAGTCTAGAAGAGCTGCCGAGTTTAAGGTCCCATCAAGAATGCACCCCTCGCATTCTTTGGCCACCATCCGGGCGGCTAAGCGCCCACTCCTCCTTTTCTGTTTACTGATAGTTTACTTTGGCATGTATTATTGATCGTTACATCATCTAAAGTATAGAGAATTTCATGCATTCAAAAAGGAGTTGGAACGTTAATAGAAATACAATTTTACACCTTGTCTAAAGCTCAACACACATATAGATTGTCGTAGTCGGAACCACGATACATCCGTGAATTTCACAGTCAACATTTATCATTTTATTCTTACTAACGTGCACAAGGAACCTCACCGGTGCCTGAATTTTCCCAATACCCGCATTTGAGCCAGCTAGTTACATCGAGTTGAATGGGTAGGTGTTACGGTTTGACCGTTGTTTAAGCTTAGGAGGAAACCTAAGCGTTTAATTAGAAATAATTACGATAAGACTGAAATAGGAAGGATGGGCAAATACAGATGAAATGGCACTACTAGCCAGGAGTTCGAAGCAATATCATAGCGTAATGGCTCCTGATAATACTTGGCCCGGTAGCAAATACTAGGCCTACGGGAAAGTTATCAGTCAGCAGATTCACGAAGCGGACCAAACGTCATAAGTATTGTGAGGTTATGGATCGTAGAGGAATGCTGGAATGGTATAGGGAGGTGAAGGATATATGCCGAACAACGAAGCAGTTAAATAGAGCTTAAGGGTGAAGCTTGGTAGGGTGACACGAAGAGGGTATGAATAGACCTTCAGAGATATTCAGTAAATGTAATGAACTGAGGATTTCTGAAGGAGAAGAACAATACATATATGTACAGGAATTAGTCCTACTGAGACGAATTTAGAAATAAGCCAGGATATGCGCCCATGTCCCAGTATGGCAACATTATCATGGTGAAGGTATGTCTTGACCACCAGTAGACCCCAAGCTAGCTGAGTGTAAGACAGAATCATGCATATACCATAATTTCCAACATATCTTGTGTTAAGCACCAAGACTAATTAATATTACAGAAAATATATGTGGTGTAGTATTCAATGATACAAATAACGGAAACGAAAACGAGATAGTACATGACTAGTGTAACAGATGCAGGACTGTTAGAATTACAACAATAAGTACCTGTTAATAGTAGCTAGAGATTTCTTTTCTCTCCATATAGTTTAATAAATCGATTTATTCATCACCAACTCGATTTCCGCCACAGTAGGAAAGTATGCACCATGACCCTAGGGTCACAGACCATGGGAAAACCCTCATCAGGAATACTTCGGCCATTCCTTCCGTACTCATTTTTGGTTAGCAGTCGAAATTATGTCCAAAATCTGCCATGCAGGAGTT